AGACGAGGGCAGAGGAACCAGGACAACTCTGGGTGCATCTCACTCATCTGTGGTACGGAGACGAGACAAAGGGCTGGGCGGGTTCAAATGAAGGCAGACCCCGGGCACTAGATCATAGAACTGAGATGCCAGGGAAGGGGAACGGATGGGGAGCAGGGATGGGCTGGACGCAGTACAGGACACTGGTCAAGGCTCTTGTAGATTTGGGTTGTGGACAGGTGAGGGTTACTATAAGCATCAACACTATTATAAGCATCTGACCGAAACTTCGCAATTTTCAAAAAATTTAATGGGGGCCTGGAGCGACAGCACAGCAGGTAGGGCGTTTGCCTTGCATGCGGCCGACCCGGGTTCGATTCCCAGCATCCCATATGGTCCCCCCAAGCACTGCCGAGTAATTCCTGAGTGCATGAGCCAGGAGGAACCCCTGTGCATCGCCGGGTGTGATCCCCCCAAAAAGTAATGGGATTAGCAAGGAGGTAGGGTGGGATGGATGGGTGGGGGACCTTGGATCTCTGGTGGGGTGGGTGTGGAGTTGGAATATTGTGTACTTGACACTCTATCATTAGGTCCTGGTGCCTAAATAATAAATTGAAGAAAGGTATTCTGTAAGAAATATAGGAAGAACTCATAAAGACTTGGGCAATGCATAGAAGGTGGTTCCTTCCAGAAGAAAACCTGTGTGATTATTTGAGGTGCTGGCTGAGCCAGCAACAAATCACGGTGCCATGTACTCGAATGAACAACTAACGGGCAGATCATTCCGACTCAGGGAGGAAGCGTTTCCTCCGTTGTGAAAGAAATGACTGTCGCTCAGAGGACATGCCGCAGGGTTCCTCACTGCCATCCAGGTCAAGCTTTCAAGTGAAAGGAAATAGAAAACTTATTTCCACTACCTCGAGTTTCCTAGCTTCCCGATACTTATGGGGCAGGGAGCCTACCTGGGGATGCTCAGGGGTTACTTCTGGCTCTGTGCCCAGAAATTCCACCTGGCAGTGCTTGGAGGACCTTAAGGGATGTCAGGATTCGAATCTGGGTGATATCAACTAGAGTGATACCTATAACTGGAGCGATACCAATAACACTATGTATTGATATTATATATTATAATATCATATCATAATATCATATTGATATTATATGATATTATATGTCCTGATGGATCTATCACATCTTCCAGAAGGGCAATGGAGAAGATTATTCATGACTTCTACTCAGATCTCTTTAATAGCCACGTCCACTTGCCCACATACCAAATTCCGCAGGATGGATATGTCGTTCCCAACGTTCTCCCTTCCGAAATCTGACACGCCATCTCGTCCATAAAGAAACAAAGAACACCTGGCCCAGACAAGGTCAGACCTGAACACCTGAAGAACCTACCGTCAGTACTCATCAATACACTGGCTCGGCTCTTCACACGCTACCTGTCTGAATTCAAGGTTCCATCCCAATGGAAAACTAGCAGGACTGTACTACTGTACAAGAAGGGAGACATCCACAATATTGGCAACTATTGTCCAATATGCCTATTGTCTGTCATCTACAAGCCGTTCACTCGAGTCATCCTGAATAGGATTGGCAGAACACTAGATGGACAACCATGCGAGCAAGCTGGGTTCCGAAAAGGATTCAGCACGATTGACCATATCCACATGATAACCAAGCTCATTGAGGTTTCTCAGGTGTTCAAGATGCCGCTCTGTCTAACATTCATTGATTTAAAGAAGGTCTTTGATTCTGTTGAGACGGAAGCGGTCATCGAAGCCCTAGCCAATCAGGGCGTTCAAACTCAATACATCAGGATCCTCCGTGAGCTGTATTACAGATTCACTTCCAGGATCTCACCATTCTACAAAGAAGTGATCATCCATGTCAAGAGAGGGGTTCAGCAGGGTGATACTATTTCACCAAAACTCTACAGTGCCAACCTTGAGAATGTCATGTGACAACTGGACTGGGAAGGAATGGGAGTGAAGATAGATGGTCGGTGACTCTACCACCTCCGCTTTGCTGATGACATTGTTCTAATAACACCAAACATCAGCCAAGCGGCACAATTGCTGACCGACTTCGACCGTGAGTGTGGAAAGGTCGGATTACAGCTGAATCTCATGAAGACAATGTTCATGAGAAACAGTCTTGTTCCTGACATTCTATTCACTCTCAACGGAACAACTATCTCCGAATGCAACAGTTATGTATACCCAGGTCAAGAAGTCAACATGACAAATGACCTGGCACCTGAGTTGCGCAGGAGGAAGAGAGCGGCTTGGAACGCCTTTAAGAGCATTGAAGAAATAACTAAGAGGACGAAGAACCTCTAGGTCCAAACACATCTCTTTGATTCCACTGTTCTTCCTGCATTAACATACGCCTCAGAGACCTGGGCCCTACGAAAACAGGATGAGAACGCTATTCGGGTCTCTCAAAGAGGAATCAAAAGAGCTATGCTTGGAGTATCATGCTTCACTCAAATGAGAGATAGAATCCGGAGTTCCGACCTCCAACAACGCTCAAGAATCAGGGACACTGTCTTGTTTGCCAAGGCATCAAAAATCAGATGGGCTGGACACGTAATGAGATTTAGAGATGACCGCTGGACTAGAGCCATTACCAACTGGATTCCACGGGATGTCAAAAGATCACGTGGACACCCACCTACGAGATGGTCAGATTTCTTCGTCAAGACCCTGAATGATCGGTTTGAGGCTCTTCATGTTCCTAGAATGAGCAGATGCCATTGGGCTACGCTAGCATGCAACAGGGATGAATGGAGACGTTACTGGTGTCAACTCGAGCAAATCGATGAGTAACAGGATATCAAGTTATCAAGCGATTGATATTATGTACTATGTATGATATGACAAAGGGCATTATTTGAAAGAGTTGCTACATACCACAAACCAATAGTTTTCAAACGACCAAGGTTTATCAAATCAAACGTGGTATATCAAACGTTCGATCAAAAGGCAAAACGGACTGAAGGACTTGAAAATAGCAAAGTGCAGAAAGTTCACTAAGATAGTCCCAGATCCGAGAATGTTCATGAAACTTTGACTTGCTACATTTTAGTGGAGCATTAAAAAAGGATCATGAAAACACTCCTAGTGTGAGGCCAGACTTTCTTCATACACATCAGCCCACACCAGAGCAGTGGGTTGCCGGAACAGAAACGAGAGTCCAGCTATCTTTTATTAGTGTTCGTGATGATTTGAGGAAATGCGAAACAGAGCCAGTTAGTCCATTAATATCAGGGGGCAGGGAACACAGTTGGTTTTTCTCTTAAAAAATAGTGCATTCTGAACTGTTTATTAGGCTGCTGTTTCTTTAGTAAATGGATAGGTGTTACAAGATGTTCTCAGCTCTAATTTCTGATGTGACCAGTATCAGACAGCAGCAACGCTCTCTGTGGGGGGAGGTGGTTTGGGGCCACACTCTTGTGCTGCTCAGGGGCTATTCTTGCTCTGTGCTCGGGAGGGACCCCTAGCAGTGCTCAGGGAACTTGAACCAGGGTTGAGGGCTTCTCTCTCTCTGATCTCTCTGGGCCCAGCAATGGTCTTCTGAGATGAGACCAAAAGGCATGAGAGCTATAGCGCTACTGGACCGTTTCCCAAAGTGGGTGATACTGCCACCTCCCTCCCCACAAGGAGGGGGCCTGGAATGATTCAGGGGGCTGATGGCAGCCTCCAGTGCAACTTGGGTCCACTTTCTGTCTGTTTGCTTAAAGAAACTAGATTTCCAGGGGAGTACCAAATCAATTTTTTTTAAAGGAGTAGCTAGGCCAACTAAGTTTGGGAATGCCTTCTCTATAGCAACATGACAATGACCTCTCCACAAGTGCATATTGGCAATAAAGATTTTATAGTACCTCCAAGTACATGGGCACAGCCTGCTTTGAAGCAGCTGCAGATGGACGCAATTAATTTTTTTTTAACAGTGCATTAAGTGGCAATCACGAAGGGAGAAGTTCGCCAAAGCTAGAGGCAGTGCCGAAATGAGAAAAAGGACGTGGACTCCAGCACAGACCCTGCCCACGACTCCAGACACTCGTCTCTCCATCTTCCAAGTGAGAGGGCAGAGAAGCCTATTTGCAGGTTGCTCCCAATTGTCCACTCCAGGATCCTACTCAGGGATGCCTAAAGAGTGACCACAGGCTGTGATGTGGCCTTGGTTTGGGGGACAGAACGCACACCCATCAGTCCTTGGGGTCTGGTCCTGGCTCTGTGCTCAGGAATCACTCCTGGCAGTGCTGGGGGGACCATATGGGCTGTCCAGGATCGCACCTGCGCCGGCCATGTGCAAAGCAAACACCCTCCACGCTCTACTATGTCCCGGGACCCTGAAGCTTCCCTTTGCGAACTCGACTTTGCCCAGCGTCCGCGAAAGGCCTAGGCAATCTCTTGCCAAACTCAACTCCCCCTCCCCCGGCACGGTTGGGGGGCGTCTGGGGGGGGTGTCCCTGTCCACTCTGCCCCCTTGCAGGCGGTCTGCCCTTGGACAAGTGCCTCGCCTTCTCTGGGCCTTGGCGACTTCCCTGCAGGGCGGTCACCCTGACGGCCAGCAGGGAGCGTTCCTGGCACTGACCGGGACTGTCAGGCAGGCTCCTGACCCCCACCCCACAACGCAAGCCCCCTGCAGACCCGCTGCCCACGGGGGAGGCCGCCTGAGCCCCGACCCCTGCTGGGCGGTTCCCAGAGCCCGCAGCTCCACACATCTCAGGGCGCGGAGACCCTCCTCGGCCCTCTGCCTCTCCTTCCCCGCCCGCGCCCCCTTCCTGCGGGGGGTCCTGCGCGACGCCGGCTCCGCACAGTGGCCAGGCCACCTGCCCTTCGCCCTGGCCCCGCGCCCCAGCAAGGCTCCTTTTCCCTCCGATCGGCGACCGCGTCGATGCAAGCAGGGGCGGTCCGGGGCGCTGGGGTCTAGGATCCTGGCCGGAGAAGGCCTCGGGAGGCGACGGGAGCTGCCCGCCCTCCCGCGGGGGGCCCGCAGACACTCACCGTCCATCCCCGAGAGGCGGCGGTTCCGGGGGCTCGGACCGGAAGCGGCCCGTCGACTGTTTGCAGTTCCCCTGGTTACCGCGGGGCCCCGGGCCAATGGCGTGCGAGAGGGCCGCCGGGCTGGTCCAATCGGGCGCCTGGTCCCGCCCCGGGGGCGGGCGCGCGCCGTGCGCAGGCGCGCCGGGCGGGCCGAGTGCGCGCAGGCGCTGCGGGCGCGGCGGCCGGTGGCGATGGACGCGCTCGAGTCGTTGTTGGACGAGGTGGCCCTGGAGGGGCTCGACGGCCTGTGCCTGCCCGCGCTCTGGAGCCGCCTGGAGACGCGGGTGCCGCCCTTCCCGCTGCCCCTGGAGCCCTACACGCAGGAGTTCCTCTGGCGGGCGCTGGCCACGCACCCGGGCATCAGCTTCTACGAGGAGCCTCGGGAGCGGCCGGACCTCCAGCTGCAGGACCGGTCAGCGGCCTGGCCGTGCGGGCAGGCGGGCGGCGGGCGGCGGGCGCCGTGCCCGGAGCGTCGGCCGGCGCGGGGCTGGGCCGAGTTGCGGCGGGGGGTCCCGCGGGCCTGCAGCTGGGGCCGGGCTGGGAATTGCACGGCAGCTGGTGACCTCCAGGCGCGCCCGTCCGCGTGCAGGGGGCTGGGAGGTAGGGGTGGGGGGTGGGGGGATATTTTTACTCTGAACCTGGGGGTCGCATGGAGCCCCGAGGCGCTTCGGATCTGCGCAGGAGGAGCCAATCTTGAGAGACTAATCAGGCGGGCCTGGCTGCAGGAAGGTGCACTCAGGCAGCCTGAGCTGCAGGGGCCCGACCTTGCAGAGACCCTGGGCGCTGGGGGCTTGGGGAGGGGGCTGACCGCGACCCTCCACATCTTGCAGAGGAGGAAGCAGCTGCAGAAAAAACGTTTCTCAGGTTCCTCTGTTATCTGATCCGAGCCCCTCTGCTCGCATCAGCCAGGTTGCAGAGAACAGTCCCCCGAACGGCACTCCCCAAAAGTGAGACCCAAAGGTTGCATTTAAGGGGGCTTCTTGGGAAGGTTCTCTGAGGACATGGCACACCACGGAAAGCCCGAGGAAGAGAGAGCAGATTTGGTCAAAGTGTAGAAGTGAAGTTCACTGTCGCTGTCCTCCCGTTGTTCATCGATTTGCTCCAGCGGGCACCAGTGAAGTTTCCATTGTGAGACTTGTTGTTACTGTGTTTGGCATATCGAATATGTCACAGGTAGCTTGCCAAGCTTTACCATGCGGGTGGGATACTCTCGGTAGCTTGCCGGGCTCTCCGAGAGGGGCAGAGGAGTCGAACCCGGGTCGACCGTGTGCAAGGCAAACGCCCTATCCGCCATGCTATTGCTCCAGCCCGAGGGGGAATAATAGTTGTCACTGGGGTCTGTGTTTCTGACGAGTTGAGACCGCAGCCTGCCCTTTCGTCTAGGGAGTTCCAGAACTTGAACCTGGGCGTCTGTTAGAAGATAACCCAGTTATCTCCTAGTTTCCTAAAGAAAAAGTTGAAGAGGGGACAGGACTTAGGTAAAGTCATCAGCAAATTTCCAGAGCATGGCTGAGTATAGTATAGCGAGCGTTTGCCTCGCACGTGGCCCACCAGGGTTCTGTCCCTAGCCCCACATAGGGTCCCCTGCGCCCGCCAGGAGTGATCCTGAGCGCTGCTGGGTGTGGCCCCCAAACAAAACAAAAAGGGGTAGCCGGAGCAGAGCTCAGTTTTAAACCAGGGGCTCCAGGTACCTGATTTACTCTGTCCTTAAGTAAAAAGGACAGTAAAATCAGTAGCCTCTGGATCCAGTTAAGGCTCTTATTGTTTATCAGAAGAATTGTTGGAGGGTTAGGAAGGACAGAGGATGAAGTTGTGAGAAGTCGTGAGTTCAGTCACAAATGGAACAATCCAGTGGACCACTCATGATTTGGTTTATGGCAGTGCATATGAAATTCGAGGTTCTTTTGGGACGTCTAAAGTGGAGATTCTGGTGAGCAAAACATTGGCTTCATGGGAATGAAACCCAGCCAAAGGGAGGAACTGAGCGCCTGAGGAGTTGGTAACTGCAGCTGTTGTGGATGATGGGAGAAGTGGGGTCCTGAGGTGCCATTTAGACACTGATGGGAGATGGAAGGGACAGCTGGGGCCCTGAAGGCTGGGGAACAGGGTCTGGGAGTGGAGGGCCCAGGGATCCAGCGGTCAGCAGGGCTGAAGAGACTCTGTGGGATTTAACCTGCACTAGACTCGCAGGCCATGAGCGTGGTTTCTCGGGAGGAGGACAGCTCTGCTGATGGGCCAGGAGGAAGCAGGGCAGAGACGGCACCCGGCAGGCAGCCGCGAACACGTCCTTCCCAGGGCGGAAAGGGACTTCCCTGGAGGTGGGGGCGCAGTCATAACCTCATTTTTAAAACCTACATATAAAAATGGAGGCATTTGATGGTAATGAAAGGCATGAGAGAGAAGGATAATTGTTGGAAATGATCATTTTGGACAGAAATTGGATGTTGAAAGTAGGTAAAGGTTTATGCCTGATAACCTTTCATTATCTGTATTGCAAACTCTAAGGCCCAAAGGGGGGCATGGAAGGGGGGAAGAGAGAGAGAGAGAGAGAGAGAGAGGAGAAAAGAAAAGTACCTGTTATAGAGGCAAGCTTGGGTAGGGAGCAGGGAAACTAGGGACATTGGTGGTGGGAAATGTACACTGGTGAGGGGATGGGTATTGGAACATCATAGTACTGAAACCAATCACAGAAAACTTTGTAACTGTGTATCTCACTGTGATTCAATTTAAAGACTTTTTTTTTTTTCTAAATCCTCATGAGATCGGTGTTTGGGCAGAAGAGACAGGACTGTGGATTCCAGAGATGAGTTCGTGCGGGCACTAGGTTTGCAGGGAAACTGCTGGGTCCTGCTCGGACCCAAGCGCTGGTTCTCGTTCCGGCACTCAGCCTCTGGGACGTGTGCGTCCTCTTGGCTAGCGAGGCGGGGATCGAGCTGGTCACAGAGAAAGGCCCGCACGAGAGAGAGAGAAGGGGTGGGACAGAGCGACAGCACTTCCTGAGTTGGGCTCTTCCCTTAGGTATGAAGAGATCGACCTGGAAACCGGAATTCTGGAGTCCAGAAGGGACCCGGTCCCTCTGGAGGACGTCTACCCCATCCACATGATCTTAGAGAACAAGGACGGCATCCAGGGCTCCTGCCGCTACTTCAAGGAGAGGAAGGACATCACGAGCGAGATCAGGACCAAGGCACTGAAGCCCCGCTGCACCATGCTGGAGGCTTTTGCCAGGTACTGCCCCGCCGTGCCAGGCAATGCTGGGTCTGCACCTGCATGCCAGCTGGGGGCACAGGTAGAACCAGGGAACGTGTGGCCACCCGGCACTCAGCCTGTCCCTTCCCTCTTCTCCCTCGAGGGCTGGGCCAGGGTGGGGGCCCCTTCCTCTGTCCTGGGCTGCAGCTGCCGGGACTTGCTGTCTTTCTTCCTCCTGTCCAGCCCGGGCCCTGGGCTGCCCATCCACCCTCCCAGGAGTCTCCGGTTCCAGCTTCCCAGAGTGGCTGTCCCGGGCCCTCCTCCATGGACCCCCCCCCACTGCTGTCCACCCCTCCCACGGTGGCTGCTCCCACGGACATCTGTCACGTGTCTGGAACTCACCCACTCTTCCTCCGGGTGCACAGAGCAAGAGCCGCCCTCTGCCCCGATCCGCCTTCTTGGCCTTTCTCTCCTCGCTTCTGTCTTCTAGCTAGTCCATGCCCCACGCCATGGGCCGGTGCTTCTGGGTAGAATGTTGTGCCCGCAGAATCTTGCATCACTCTTTCTTCCCTTCGTTCACCCTCGAACATAGCAGCTCCTCATCCCCTGTGGTCCAGGGCACGTGTTCTTTTAGGGACGCCACACCCGGCAGTGCTCAAGACTAACTCCTGGCTCAGGGGTCACTCCTGGTGGGGCTGGGGGGAGTCACAGATCAACAGGGTGCTGCACCCTGCTCAGCCACTTGCAAGGCAAACTCCCTCCCTGCCAAGCTATTGCTCCGGGCTAGGCAAAGCGTAGTCCTTAAGCCTGTGACGTCCAGATGCGGAGGCGAGCTCAGCCTGCCTTTTATGTAAGACAGACCCCCCGGCTGTTCAGCTGTGCAGAGCCTGGTTCTAGGCTCTCCGTGAAGCCAAGGCAGCTGAAGCGGAAGTGAAAGGTAGATGTCTTCTGTCCCCGCTAACATGGTGGCGGAGACAAAGCCACATGCACAAGGTGACAGAGAGCAGGCCCTGTGGGCAGGCGTCTGTCAACAGCAGGACCTGAGGAAAGTGGCCCAGGCACGGTGAGAGGGTGGTGGCCGCCAGGCTCTCCTAGGCGGGCCCTCCGTCACTGGCCTCGGGGAAGGGGGCCTTGTCCCACTGGGGGTGTCGTAATGCCAAGGAGGCCGTGAGTACCAGGGGCGATGCCAGCACCTCGTCCTCTGTGTGTGTGTGAGCGGCGTGGGTCAGCCTGCCCCAGCTGTGGGCGGAAGGTAGCTGGCCACCGAGAAGGGGGGCCTGTTAGCCTCTGCCCACCGTCTGTGTTTTCACTCGGAAGTGTGTCAGAGTGACTTCCGGGGAGTGTCCTCGGCCCCTCTCAGCCGTTACTCCTCACACCGGCCCCATGGCAGGAGCTCCTGGCTGGTGCACGGGCCAGTCTTCAGCGGTTTCCCCTCCACAGTGCTCTGCATCCTGAAGTGTGTCTGCCTGGCTCACTCAGCAGATACTTACAGTGCCCCAGCCAAGTTCCAGACCCTGGTGTTCAGACCCTGCCCCACAGCTGTTCTGGGGGACAGGGCATCCACCCTGTGGCACTTTTGCTTGAAGGGGGCTTGGATGGGGACCTGTCACAGTGCCTGCCTGTATCTCTTCTGCGTGTGTTCGGTGCTGTGGAGAGTATGGGAGTGGTTGGGGGAGGTGGGCGGGGGAGCATCTGGGTGGGGCCGCATAACAGACTCAGTCTCCCAAAGATCTGGGGGAGACTGGCTGGGCCGAGTTAGTCCCTGGCCTCAGGCCCAGCAGGGCCCACGTGTCCGCGGGTGTGTGGGACAGTCCGGCTGAGGTGGAGGGCTGGGTTTGGTGTGATGGTTCTGGCATTAGGCGGGAAGTGACCGGGGACTCTTTGTCCCCCACACTCTGAGGTTCTGGGTCTGAAGCCGACGTGAACGAAAAGCTTGCAGACCTCCAACAAGAGGCAAGGGATGACGATTCTCCAGTTTTCATTTAGGGCAGGAAGGAAAATGGGAGTCTTGCAGAGTTTTGTCAATGTGTACATGCACAGAAAACAATTCTTCAGCACCAGATTGGCTCTACGTGACACGTCAATGGGTCTCACAAAATGAAAAGCAATTTTGCGTAGAAGCAGGAAGAGACCAGCATCGTGTGATGTGGAAGCTGGGAAGAAGAGTGAAGGTTGTTAACCCTGGAATTGAAGGTAGAGATCAATCCACCCAACAGGCCGGAAGGACGGTGTGAGCTCAGAGCAGCCGTCAAGCAACATCTGCAGAAGAGGAATTAGAGCCACAGCACTGCGGGGAAGACATGCGGCCGACTAGATTCCATCTCCGGCATCTCAGAGGGTCCCCTGAGCTCTGCTGGAAGTGATTCCCGAGCACAGAGCCAGGAGTTACCCCTGAGCATGATTGGATGTGCTTTAGCCTCCTCACCCCCCCCCCCCCCCCCAAACAACTGCAGATGGAAAGGACTGGAGAAGAAACTCAAACACAGTGCCGAAGGGAGATGTTAGCGTGCAAGAGAAAAGCGTGTGAAAAACCCAAGATCAACTTTCAATCAGGAAGACGACTCCGGAAACAGTGAAATGGCAATATTTGATCAATCTCCACGACTTCCTTGAACACTGATGTTTTGATTTCACCGGTGAAAAGATGAGTGTCGGAAGTGATCAGAGAAAAAACCAGCTCCTGCCGCCTCTGGGGAAGAGACCTTAAACTGCAACGGAAACATAGTCCTCAAGATGGGTTAAGCAGTCGTACAAGCACGTTATAAGTTTCAGTTTCTCGATTTGTGCACAGTGTTTAGGAGCCTGGGGGCTGTGCCTAGTCATGCTTGTCCATCTGGACTGGACAGGTCAGTGCTGCAGGAGCCACTGACACCACCCCAGAGGTGCTGGGAGGCCCCCAGGATTTTACCCGCTCTGAGTGGTGGTGGATAACATGCAGTGGCGGGGTCAAGCGTGGGTCTCCAGGGGGAAATCATTCCCAAAAGCAGGGCCAACTCTCGTCATCCCAGGTAGCAGATTTATAACTAAAATAAGGTAACAAGATAATCCTAATAGGACTTCCAATGACAGTTTTCAAGGAAATACAACAGCAACAACAAAAATCAGTAGGATTTTTATGGAGTCACGAAAGTTTTAAAAAATTAAAAGAGGGGCTGGAGCAATAGCACAGCGGATAGGGCGTTTGCCTTGCACGCAGCCAACCCGGGTTCAATTCCCAGCATCCCATATGGTCCCCTGAGCACCGCCAGGGGTAATTTCTGAATGCAGAACCAGGAGTAACACCTGTGCATCGCCGGGTGTGACCCCCCACCCCCCAAAAAAATTAAAAGAGCCCTTACTTAGCTATGATAGTCCTGAGGAGTAACAGGACTAATGTAGGCACTGTGTTACCTGACACTGGGTTATAATGCAGCAGTATAGAAAGCTGTCTGATTCCGGAATAAAATCAGCCATGCCCGTCAGTTGCAACCCTCAGTTGTGAGCTCAGAAGAAACCCACGCATTTACTGATAATTTATAAAACAGGATCTAAGGTCGTCCAGTAGAGATTGAAGAGTCTTCACACAGTGGTATTCAGATGACTTGACAGCTCTCGGCAGGAAAATGAAGCTGGACCCCTTTAACACCGTACATGCAAGGAAATCCAAAATGGGACCAAGACCTGGATGGGAACTGTGACCGGAACGTTGGTGGAATGTTCTGTGGCATTAGCCATGGCGTTATTTGGGACTGGGCTCCCAACGTCAAGGGAAATGAAAATAAAGCAGTTTGGAGACATTCATTTTGAGAGGCTTTTGTACCACAGGAGAAAATGTAATGGAGAGTGAAAAGGATTAAGAAAACAAAAAATCCAATTAAAATGGACAAAAGGTTTGAATAGACACTTTTATTTCTTTGGTTTGTTTTGTTTGGGGCTCAACACCTGCCAGTGCTCAGAGCTTAATCCTGGCTCTGCACCCAGGCATCACTCCTGGCAGGCTCAGGGGACAATACAGGAAGCCAGGTATGGAACCCCAAAGCACTGTGTGCAAGGCAAGTGTCCTGCCTACTGTTCTCCAGCCCTTGAGTAGACTTATCAGGAGGGCCATACCACTGGCCAGTAGGCATGTGAGAAAATAGCCACTATAAGGAATCACGAAAGATTTAAAAAAATAGGGGCTGGAGTGATAGCACAGCGGGTAGGGCGTTTGCCTTGCAGCTGACCCGGGTTCGATTCCCAGCATCCCATGTGGTTCTCTGGGCACCGCCAGGGGTAATTCCTGAGTGCATGAGCCAGGAGTAACCCTTGTACATTGCTGGGTGTGACCCAAAGAAAGAAAAAAAAGATTTAAAAAACTTAAAAGAGGGGATGGAGCAATAGCACAGCAGGTAGGGTATTTGCCTTGCACGCGGCTGACCCGAGTTCGATTCCCAGCGTCCCATGTGGTCCCCTGAGCACCTTGGTGTCTGATCGTCATGGAAATGAAAATTAAGGCCATAGAGAGACCTCAGGCCAGTGAGTAGCTGCTACAAAGAACTTTTGTGAATTGTAGCAAGCTGTTGGCCAGGTTGTGGAGAAGGAACTCTTGTGCGCAGTCGGTAGGAATGCAGGTCAGTACAGACAATGTTGTACCGAGATTGTACCTCAGTCGGAGATACAGGATGCAGGAATCCGGTTTGTGGAGATACGAAGACTCCAAACATTCAGAATTCGTAGGGTTGACTACATCGTTGTTCACAGCAGGGAGCTTTAGCCACGGATCTAAGGACCAGTGTTGGTCCCTGGTGGATCGGGAGGTTGAAAAGTACCTGTCCGCTGCCCTCATAACAGCTGGGAGCAGGTATAAAAGGGGCATAGCTACTCAGATACAGACACTATGCAGGTGCTCCTCCTGAGGGCGATTAGATGAGAAGTATGGCACGGTTACATGTGGAATATTATTCAGCCATAGACAAAGACAGAACAAGGGGCCAGAGCAGTTAAGGCACTCACTTTTGCACACAACTGGCCCAAGTTTAAACCCCAGGGCCCCCCGAGCCCTACCAGGAGCGTTCCCTGAGCACAGAGCCAGGTGTAAGCCCTGAGCACAGCCAGGTGTGCCCCCCCTCCCACACACAAGGACAGAGACATAATAGAGAATTATGAATAATTAAAATCATGAAAAGTAATTTGCCTCACAGATGGAAGAAGCTTGAGGGAATTAAGTCAGTTGGGGAAAAAATAGGCATCAACTCGGTATTGAATGATTTCAGTGAGTGCAGCGTGAGGATAGACCGTTGGTGAGAGGCAAGACAGTCGATGTTGCTAATAGCCCCAAGTTACCTGAGAAAAGGATGGGAGATCAGCAATAAATGATCAGCAATAAATAAATAAATAGAACCCAAATAACTTCTCGTTCATATAGCAAGTAGGGAGTACAAAGGCTGGGGGGAATAAAACCCGGCAAACAACTGAGCCGCAGGTGAAAGAAGAAAAGAAAAGAATGATTCTCCGAGTGTCCGGTTTCCTGCTCCGTTTTCCTAAACTCAGCTGGTTTCTCTGTTCCTGCCCCGCAGGTGGGGTAAGAAGCTGATCCTCGTCGCCTCGCAGGACATGCGCTACCGGGCCTTGATCGGCTCTGAGGGGGACCCCGACCTGAAGCTCCCCGACTTCTCCTACTGCATCTTGGAGCGGCTGGGCCGGTCCCGGTGGCAAGGGGAACTGCAGCGAGACCTGCACAGCTCTGCGTTCAAGTACGGGGCTGTCGGCCGTCTTCCTTTACCCCCCTCCGCCCACCGTGTGTGCACGCACCAGGCCTGTGCGCTAACCACTACCCCACCTTCCCGGCCCTCTGTGATCTCCACTTCCCACCCTAGACCCCGTCCCCATGCGGGCAACTTGCGTCTACCTCCCTGCGTCCCCTCATCTCTGCCACCTGAATCTGGGGTCGTGGGATTGAGCACCCTGCGTCCTCTTTGAAGAGGTTCTCAGTGAAATGTGATTGTCCCAACCAGGATTTTTTTTCCCCCCAGATTTTTTTTTTTGGTTTTGCTTTATGGTGCCACACCTGGTTGTACTTAGGGGTCACTCCTGGTGGTGCTTTGGGAACCCTGTGGAGTGCCAGGGGTCCAGCCTGGGCCAGCCGCACACAAAGCATACGCTTCCCCTCGCACTATCGCTCTGGCCCCCACGTGAGACGTCTTGAGGGGCAGCAGGTATTACTGGTGGCAAGCGGTCCGAGGAAGGGTTGACCCGAGCGTGTCCACAGACTGGGGTGTAGGGCCCCCCTGGTGGTCGGCCCCCAGGGGCTTGGGCGTCTCATCCCCGCCCCAGCTGTCCCCTCCCGCTTTTCCTTGCCCCGCCCCCTTGCCCTCTCCTGGGGGCCTGGGCTGCCTTTGTGGGCTTGGCCCGTTGTCTCGGCTCTGCTCCAGACAGGCTGGGCCTGACTCCGACTCTCCCGCGGCCCAGGGTGGATGCCGGGAAGCTGCACTACCACCGGAAGATCCTGAACAAGTGCGGCCTCATCACCATGCAGTCGCACGTCATCCGCCTGCCCACGGGCACCCAGCAGCACTCCATCCTCCTCCTGCTCAACCGCTTCCACGCGGACAGGTAGTCGCAGGCCCAGGGCCCGCACTGGGGTCTGCTTGGGGTTGGGTGGGGTTTTCCAGTTATGGGTAGAAGTCGCTCTCGGTGGAGAAGAATCCGCGAGCTACACAGACCGGAAGAGCCAAGCACCCTTGCTCTCCTCACGGTCCCGCAGGGAGGGGTCGGCACACTTAACTGGGTGACTCTGCAGGGGCAGGGGGTAACG